ATTTTTTTTTTTTTTTTTTTTTTTTTTTGCCCAATGTGACTTTTTTTTTAAGTTTTTTGAGAGAGGGTCTAATTATGTAGTTCAAGCTGGCCTTGAATTCACGGCAATCCTCCTGCCTCAGCTTCCCAAGTGCTGGGATTATACCTGACTGGTTTTGTTTTTCTGAGACAGGATTTTGCTATGTAGACCAGGCTGGCCTCAAACTCATGATCCTTGTGCCTCAGCCTCTCATGTACTAGGATGAGAATTTGATTTTTAACAAGGCTCAAAACTTTGCTTCCAAGATGGAATTCACATGTCCAGAACACAGTGAATACCTAAGGGGAAGGAGATTTCTGAAGGCCATGGGCTGTGCTCATGAATGCCTACCATGTACATGAATGGTGGCCTACACCACATAAAGATCCACCCTGTCTTACTCTGTGCCCCAGGAAGCCGACCTCAGGGATACACTGCCTTGGATCCCGTCCTCTGGCTGTCTACTAGGTTGCGAGGGGTGTGGGGGGCACCAGCAGATGTGCAGGCAGCAGTGTAAAACTGGGGTTATTTATCCCCTTCATTCTCTCCCTTCCTGATGGCAGGGCCCACGGCCACAGGTCCTAGCAAGTTATTCCTCTCCCTGCCAAGGCTAGAGCTCTCATCTGCTTCTGGGAACAGTTCCTCTCTGCTGGTCCCTGAGGAACAAAGGAGTAATATCTTTTTACCTTTGTCCAATGCAGTGCCCTTACTGACCAGTCCACACCTCTGTTAACAGTCCCTTTACTGAACTCACTTCAATCAGCCCACAAAGAATGTTCCATCTGTTCTCAAGCTGGGACCCTGCCTGAGGCAGCTGTATCTGGGAGAACAAAGGTAATTACATCACCTAGTCCACCCAACCAGAGAAGTCAATTTATCACCTCAGACCAGAATTAGGGATTATTTTGCTGCTTCAATGGCAAAGGCTGAAGCCACTGAGACATGTCCTCACCTCGACTTTTTCTTGGATCTCGAGTGAAATCCTCTTCCTCACCGGTCTCTTGGATGTACAGGGGCCCCCAAGATTCATACCTAGGACTGGCCTCCAGAGACTGCACACTGCTGGGGGACTCTTTTGCTACTCCTGATGATGACATCTCCCACACTTGTTTCTGTTCTTTTGGAGGAGTTGAGACCTAGAGACAGTTAAAAAAAAAGGCTGAGTTTATGTACAGCTCATTTTAAAAACTAAAATGAGAAAAATCTCAGGACAGCCATGCAGAAGCTCTAGGAAAGAAAAAAAAATCAATTTTGTTCAATTCCCAAGGCTAATGGTAGTTTAGGTAAGGAAAAAACAAAAACAAGACCCCAAAAAACCAACAAAACCAGGAGGAAACATGGTCTAATTCGTTAGAAGCTTCCTTTCTGCTAATCTTGTTAAGGAGACAAGCTCTTCTTCCTAGGGAATGCTATGCTCCCAATCTCCCGAAGTAAAAGAGGCTCCCCCTGCCTACCTGGAGTCCTGGTTCATCCAATTCCTGCTCCAGATCTTCCAGGAGGGTGACCGCTTCTTCAGCGCTCTCGGGGCAGTGCTCCTGCACCCAGGCTTGGAGCTCCGGGGGCAGGATGGTCAGGAACTGCTCCAGCACCAGCAGCTCCAGGATCTGCTCCTTGGTGTGCAGCTCCGGCCGCAGCCACTCACAGCAGAGCACCCGGAGCTGGCTCAGGGCCTCCCGGGGCCCCGGGGTGTCATGGTACCCAAACTGCCTAAAGCGCTGGCGGAATATCTCCAGGCTAGGAAGGCACTTCCCTTTCTCCTCCTCCTCCTTGACTTTCAGAATCACAGGACCCAGCTGCTGCTGAGGTGGCCTGGGGCCCAGAACTGTAGCCATGCCCACGACTTTGGTCATCACACAGAGTCAGAAACAATCTCCCCAAGGTTGGGCTCCGTAGAGCAGGAGATGGGATTCTTTGGGTTCCTGGCTCCTTAGGACCACACACTAGACCTAAAAAAATATGGTTGCCATACAATTACTAAAACCAAAGGCTTTTTTTGTTTTTAGTCTTTACAGCAACAGGAAATCATGATTACCATAAAACTATTATTAAAATTACTATTCAAGGGCTGGGGATTTAGCTCAGTGGCACTGTGACTACCTTGCAAGCGCAAGGTCCTGAGTTCAATCCCTGGTACTAAAAAAAAAATTACTGTTCAAAACCTAACTGAAATTATCTTGGGCAGCCTTTGATTTTACTGTGTTGTCTCCATTTGGCTAAAAAGTACTATGTGGCATTATTTTAAAATTAGATTAACTTTGTTCCAAAGATGTTTTATAATCTTATAACTGTAGATATTTTAATTTTTGAGAATTCAACAAGTTATATACTGGCCAAAGGTGTGTTTGAACCTAATACATATAGCTTGAACATTAGATATTTATTAGTCAAGTGACTAGGTTTGTCAGTTACCAGATATCAGGTTGGAATTAACTAGTATATATTAAAAAATAATGAGCTATAATTAGCAATATAATTTTCAGTTTCACCTGATCTATTTTTAGGGCATACAGTAATCAACATTTTTTGTTGTTTTTTATTTTTTTGAGACAGGATCTTGCCATGTAGCTTGGGCTGGCCTCAAACTTGAAGCAGTTTTTTTGCCTCAGCTTCTTGAGTTTTGGGATTACAGGCATGTGCCACTGTTTTCCTGGCTAGTAATGCATATTCTTATAGTAATATTTATTTTGATAAAATATGCAGTACTGAGAAGAAATTGAGGGGGAAATTCAAAGTAGATACAAACAAAAAAATACTTAGAAGTATTTTTTCTTTAAAATCGCCATCTAAATCTTTGACAGCCGATTCATTGGAATATTTAAACATATACAGCGGTATAATTACTTCGATTTTCCTCATTTCTTCATTTGGCACATAGTACAGTCCATTCCTTAAACACTGACTGAACAGCCACCATGTGGGCAGTGCTGGTGCTGCAGGAGGAGTAAGATGCCCTCAACAGGAGCTTTGGCAAATAAACAAGCAAATAGGAAAGGGAATCAGTGCAACATTACTGACACTTGTTAAATATATTCTGGAAGAAAAATATTTCAGTTAATGAAACTTTTATGCTTATGACGGGCGTTCCTGAGCATGCTTTCAAATTGTAAGCAACACCTTTTCCACCACCTTGGTATCCCATGTTGAATTTGGATAATGTAGAGCAGCAAAACTCCAGTAGCTCAATAAGGGGAAGTATGTACATATCAACATGAATTTATATTGGTGACAACGGTAAAACCATAAAGAAGAGCTACACATGCAGATGATCTCAATCAACAGCACTTAAAACTCAATTAAGCTAATTTTGAATACTTGTCCAGCTCCATGAACCTGATCTGCCAGCACCTGAGAAAATCCAAAAATCATAAATGTCTATGCAGTTCATATATAAAGTGGGGAAAGACCAACACTTAACAGTGATACTGTTGGGCTACACAATTATAGATTGGTTTTAAACTTTATTCTTCTTTGGATTTCTAATTTTTTTAAAGATTGAGTTTCATGGCTTTTGTAATCAGAAAAAAATTTTTTTGGAGACAGGGTCTTGATGTGTGGGGTCTGGGCTCCCCTTGAACTTACTATATAGTCCAGGCTGGCCTCGAACTCGTGATCCTGAGTGCTGGGACTATAGACATGCATCATTGCATATCAAGCCTAGCTAGAAAATCTTAAAAGGGATCATAAAGTCATTTGACAAACAAAATAATTTTATTGCTAATATTTTGTAGAGAAGGCTCATATTTATGAAATTAATGCTAAAGTGCTCAGCAATGGAATTATAAACATCAGTAAGCAACTCGAAGCATGAAGAGGGAAACTATGACATAGAAAGAAAAACTTTTGGAAATATTTTCCAAAATGTGTCCAAAGGAATGAAAATTAAGTGCAGTAAACAGAACAAGCAAGTTTTGGTCAAACAAGGCTGAAGAACAAGGGGATAGCCAATGCTAAACAGGTCTATCTATTTTATTTCTGAAATTATAGGACTTGTTAAAGTATTTTAACTGCTACTGTGCCCCCAGTGAAGTTTGGGAAACAGCAGCCGAGATTCTGGAGCATGTGTGGGAAAGTGAATATGGAGTATTTGAACATTTTGACCAATCAATAAAGTTATTTTGAAATAATGGAAGCATCAGAACTGCTTAGCATCTTGGCTCTGTGCTAGGGGATCTTTGTAACGGAATAACTAAAGAGTGCAGTGCTGGGGAGGCTAAGGCTCAAAAGAGCCAATCTGGACTCTCTAAAGAGGTCACTGAGCAGCAGAAAGCTTAGGCAGCAAATCAGAATTGAAGGTAAGACAACCTAAGCTGGAAGAAGAGCAGGGTCTTTTGTTTGCTGTGTACACTCACAGTGAACAGAATGGAGTTTGGGGCGCACCTAGTATACAACAGGTGCAGAATAGTCATATATGATGGAGGGGAGGCTGAGGCAGAAGAACCAGCTAAGTCCCAGAATTCAGGCCAGCCTGGGCTCCATTTAAGACTCCGTTCTTTCGTTCATTCCTTTATTCATTCATTCATTCATTCATTCATTCATTCATTGTGGCACCGGGGATTGAACTCAGGGCCTCCAGACTTAGCTACATTCCAATTCTTTTTTGTTTTTGTTTTTTCATTTTTATTTTGAGACAGGGTCTCACTAAATACCTAAATTGGCCAATCTGGCCTGAACTTGCAATTCTCCTGTTTCAGCCTCCCAGAGTGCTGGGATTACAGGTATGCTCCACTAAACCTGGCTAAGATCTTGTCTTCAAAAAAAAAAAAAAAAAAATTGTGGCATGTATGAAAGAATGAATGGGCTTAAAAAAGATCAGGGTTTATCCAGTCTCCTTTGGTCTGAGCCCTGAATAGGGCAGCCTAACCTGACTCACTCATCCATGAGGACAGTTGATTTATTGATTACTGCCCTCATTCTACAGAGTGGCTAACAAGTCCCAAATTTTTAAGGTTATAACTCTATTTCTTGGTCATTCTCACAAAGACTTGGTACCAAGAAAATCAACACACCAGTGATTTATGTTTGGTATTAATATACTATAAAGAACAGAATGTGGCCCAATGAAGCCTGATCCTAGAATTGAATTCACTTCTCAACATGGAGGCTACAGGAACATAAGGACTCATTTATCCTCTTTTCTCTTAGTTCAGAGAGACAGATAGCCAGAATGTATAAATGCCATTCCCATTAATAACCTCTGGTTTTATAATTTAAAAATCTTAAATAATACCTTATGCTAATATTTGCTGGCCACATTAAACAAGCTCATCAGAAACACTGAAATAGCCATAGAGCACCTTCGCTCATCTCTGTTTTCAGAGGCATTTTATGCTTAAATTCAGTTATTAAAATTTGTAAGTTAAACAACACCACCTTTGCATATCGTTCAAAGCTTCTTAGAAAAGTGAAAAGTACCCAGGATGGCTACAGGATGGTCTGTTAGGAAAATAAGTTATTACAAAGTCTAAATTTAATGGCCACCATAAAACAGACAACCCATCCCAACAATAAGGCCAATATGAAGCCTTTCTCTAACAGACATGCATTTCTGTTCTGGTTTTTGTATTTTCTGCTTAGTTTCACATTTAGTAAATATGCATTGAAAACATTCTTTTTACATCTGTTCCCCTTCACCTATTTTTGTGACTAGTTTTGGTAAATTTTAAAATCAAGAAATGGGTTTCCAGGTATGGAACCCCTATCTATCTATCTATCTATCTATCTATCTATCTATCTTTGGTACCAGGGATTGAACTCAGGTCCTTGCACTTGTGAGGCAGGCGGCGGAACCACTGAGCTAAATCCCTGGCCCTGGAACCCCAATTTATAACCTTGCTTTAATCAGAAACCCAATAATTGCCAGCTAAGTAGGTCAGAACTGCAGGGATACCAGTTCTTGATTTCCCCTCTACTATAGTCCAGTCCTGAAGCATCCTAAGAGATGCCAACCTGTATTCTGACATAGTGGATCAGAATCAGTACTCTCATGTGGGTCTCTGCACTCAGTAACTACTGGGCTGATTTCAGGACACTGGAAAACTAAACCAGGGAAGGAGCAGTGCCATCTGATCTCCTAGAATAAAGGCACATGTCTTTGCATGATGGCAGTCATGATCTGCCTCTCCATTCCATCTCATTTCTCTTCTTGTTCTTATGCTTTACCTGAAATCACAGCTACCCGGTAGGAGTACTGGGGGAGGGGGCGTAGTTCACCGGCACAGCATTTGCAGAAGGACCACAAGTTTGAGCCTTTCCTGGTCAACTTAGCAAGACCTGCATCCCAAAAAATAAGGGCTGGGACTGTAGATTAGCACAAAGGCCTTGCATTCGATCTCTAATGCTAACAACAGAAAGTCTTTCTTGTGTTCATAGTGTTCCTCCCTTTTATATCAATCTCCCCAAGTTTATATACCCCTATTAAAGTGCTTGAAATCCATTCTTGAACACGGTGAGATATATAAAAATCAAATTATCATAAAAAATTATTATAGACTCCAACTCAACAGCATTTATCACCTAATGCTAGAACGTCTTTAGTACAGTCTATGTGTAAAGTCCTAGCCAAGCAACTTAGACAATCCTTGTACAGAATTTGGTTGGACGGTTTTGTTACAAAGCCTCCTTCAAACCGAACACTGTAGCACTTCGATTCTAGTAGGGTCCTAAACCAATAGTTACTTTCTCCATAGTGGCCTTCTAATACTTGAAAAAACAACTTTCTTGCCCCTAATGCCTTTCCTCTTCACAGCTGTTTTAACTGTGTTTTAAAATACTTGGATTATCTTACTCTTCACTTTTCTAAGCTATCGCCTTTCTCTTTACTCGCAAAAGGTCCTCTAAAAATGTTTCCACACTTGAGCT